CCCCAAAACCCCAAAACCCCAAAACCCCTTGATTCCCATTATTGTTAAATTTCTAAATCACATTGAAATTAATTGATATTCACTCTTTTAAATAAATCTTATAATGCAGTGATGTTCGTTAACAATAGACAATGAGCTTTAATTATTTCATGCAATAGCTTTACTTAATTATTATATCTACTATACTCTCATCTTCATTCTTAATATCCTCTACTATTTCCTTCAATACCATAACATCCTTCTACCTTATATCATAGATTTAAACATTTTCGACGTTATACTACAATATTTTTATGCTTTGCTTATCAGTATCTTAATTTTATGATTAGCCAAATGCTTTCAATGGAAGAATTCTTGGGTAAATATATTCTGAGAATGAATGTTTTAATTATAGTTTCTCTAATCTTACAAATTTTTTTGTGTCATTTCTAATTATCTTGTAAGCATCATAGATTAAGATATCGTTAATATTTTAAAGTTATTCATTATCCTATTCCTGCATTTTTCATCCAATCGAGCTACTAAATAGAGATAGTCTTTAGTCCTTGCATAATTCCAAACTAAAAATTTCTCATTTTAAAATATCTAGACTTCAGTCATTTTGAATATTTCGTTATATTAGCTAGATTACTATTTGAGCATTTAAGAATCATCAATAATTCTCTCTATTAAGTATGTCTTTGTTGAACAGTTTTCAAATCCAAGTATTAGAAGCTATAAATCTGGAAGGTAAACGCAACATAAATATTATTAGATGGGCTTAGATGTCTTATCTACTTCATATTTCCTTATTGTTTAAACAATTTCATAAGTCTTTATATTGTAGATCACTACTTCAGCATTAGTTTCAGACATTAGTAAATAGTGATATTTATCGAGCCTAAATATACCGATTAAATGACCAGGTTTGATATTTTATAGTTTTTTTATAATCTGATATTTCTTTTTCATATTAATGACATTGACCAGTTTAGGATCGAATGTGATGAATGTCTCAGGCTTGTAAAGTTTGCAGAAATCTCTACATTTCACATTTAATTCTTCACCAATAACTTTGTAGTTTCTCATATGTATATAATCCTTATTGCTGTTTCTAACACTAAAGAGGAGCGCTTTTTAATCATACTGCTCTGAAATCAAAATAGGAGCGTTTGACACTTTCCGCAACTTCTTTATTTTCATTTTTAAAAGATATTTATAATTATATGTTTTTAATGAGTATTTCTTGTGATTTCATTATGTTCTTATTGATTGCTCCATGGGGTTTTGGGGTTTTGGGGGTTTTGGGGTTTTGGGG